CCAATTCATTCTCTCCCTCATGCCTCACATCCAGTGAGTCATCAGGTCTGGTTGATGCTGCCTCTAATATCTCTCAAACCTCTCTTCCTTTCTTCATTCTCATGTCTCAGTTTAGCCACTCATCATTTCTTGCCTGGACTGTTGCAGCAGCCTCCAGCTGCTCTCCACACCTCCAGACTCTGCCCCTCTAATCCATCTTCCACACAGCAGCCAGATATCTGACCATGGCACTCCCCACTTGAAAACCCTTTGGCGCCTCCTTTTGCCCTCAGAATAAAGGCCTAATTTAAGGGGCTCGATGAAGGGTATTGGAGGTACTTCATAGTATGCTCCCTCCTTCCCTCACACACACACTCACATGTACTCCAAACTCCAGCCGGCCACACTGAATGTCTCACAGTGTTAGACACTACTGAAGTGCCCAGTGTATACTAGGTGCTCAGCAGGCATTTATTGAAAGTATGGTTTGAAAGAAAAATACTATTATATATCAATTTTTAAAGTGTTATGGAAGGAAAAGAATGGTTTGAGTTCTTTATGAAATCCACATACGAATACTCATGAAATATCTGCTCTTGTACTTTGCTGATATTTTAGAGGAAGAAAGTAACCTTGTGCTAGAAAGGATCATTGACAGTTTAAAGACTGCATGGTAATGTCAACAAAATAAGGTATCGGTGCTCCTTTGGAATTAAAACTTCTGTGGCACCACAAAAAAACTCATTTGGCTTTAGGATATTTAGGCAAACTCATTTGTAATAATGGCATCTTTTCAATCCATTCTAGAGTTATTTAAAGTGATACAACCCACTTGGAGCAGAGCTAGGATTAAACTTTTTTTTAACTAAAATACATTCTTAGCACAGCCTAACACAGAAGCCAAGTCGATAAAAGGGATGAAGATGGAGCCACTCTGGTTGATGGAGATAGGGATTTACAACCTGCCCACTCACTAGTCCCCTTAATTCCCTGGAGCAGCTTCCTAAGGCACTTCCAAGAAATCCCTAGGTCAGCTCAGAGGATACATTGAAAACGACTGTTTTAGTAAAGGGACTCAGGGCTGGAGTCAGGATATCTGGGTTTGGGGAAGATTCTGCACCAGAGTAAAGACAACTCTGGCCAAGTTCTTTCCCCTCTCTGGAGCCTCAATCTCATTGATTGTGAATAGGAGGCTGGGATTAGATCTTGGAATTGCTTTCTAGTTTAAATTCTATTTCTATCCCTCTTGACTTTGGCCTTTCTTATGAGCCTGTGTGGCAACTCAGCTGTTCCTCACTTTCAGGACAACATCAACTTGCTGCTTACTGAGGAGGAAATGTACAGCCTCACGGAGACCTTTCAGCGGTGTAAAGTCATCCCTGGTAAGGTTGGGTGGTGCTGCTTGAATGGAGAGGGGTCGGGCAGATTACTCCTTCATGCTTACTTTTTTTTTTTTTTCTTTTGGTGACAGAGCCTTGTTCTGTTGCCAGGCGCCAGGCTGGAGTGCAGTGGTGCGATCTCGGCTCACTGCAACCTCCGCCTCGCAGGTTCAAGCAATTCTCCTGCCTCAGCCTCCTGAGTAGCTGGGACTACAGGTGTGCACCACCAGGCCCAGCTAATTTTTTTGTATTTTTCAGTACAGATGGGGTTTTACCATGTTGGCCAGGATGGTCTCGATCTCTTGACCTTGTAAGCTGCCTGCCTCAGCCTCCCAAAGTGCTGGGATTTCAGGCGTGAGCCATGGCAGCCGGCCTACTCCTTCATGCTTTCTAGGATGAACCATGAAAGGAGTATTCCATATTTAGTGGGTAGAGGGTAAATGGGTCCTTGTTCCTGAGTTGTTGGCCAGCAGAAGCACCCCCCCCATTACAGACTGGGTGACCCTGGCCATGGGAGGCAGAGACTCAGCAATAACTGTGGGTGTGGGGACCCCAAGGATGCCCTGGAGGTGGTGGAGATGCCCTGAGGCTGAGGAACGATGGGCATGGCCAGCATGGGGTGCCTCCCACAGATTGCTCCCTGACACTGGAGGACTTCCTGCGCTACCGCCACCAATCAGCAAAGCGGGGGGACCGTGACAGGGCCCTGAGTGAGGAGCAAGAAGAGCAGGCAGCCCGCCAGTTTGCTGCCTTGGACCCTGAACATCGAGGTCACATAGAGTGGCATGACTTCTTGTCCCATGAGTCCCTCTTACTGTTGCAGCAGTTGCGTCCCCAGGTGAGGGCCAGCTGGGGCAAATGTTCCTGGGATACTGGGTGAAAAGGGCCTGGGAGGCATGCTGGGCAGGTCGGGGGAGCACTGGGTCCTGTCTGAGCAGGGACTCGTATCAGAAATGGGCTCAGGTTCCATCCAGTGACTGAGGATCCAGTGCCCAGACTGAGGAAACTGCCTAAGGAAGACTGATTTGCCCTGGACCACACTGGAAATGTTGGTACTACCAGAAGGGCTCTGGACAACTTCTAAGGGGGATGACAAAGGTGGTAATGGAGGTAGGATTCTGTATGGCTTGGCAGTTTAAAAGATATTTTTACCTCTAAGATCTTGTCTCTTCTTCCCCAGAACTCTCTGTTGAGGCTTCTGACAGTGAAGGAGCGGGAACGAGCCCGAGCCACCTTCCTGGCACAGGGCAGTGGGAGCACCATCAGTGAGGCAGAGTGCCACCGGGCCCAGCACTCTTGGTTTTGCAAACGGTTCCCAGAGGCTCCCTCCTGCAGTGTCAGGTCTGCTCCTTACCAGTCCCAGGCCCCGCTGAGCCTCTCCTCCTCCCTTTTCCATGCCAGTGGCCCTTCTATACCTTTCTGCTCCCCCTGCCAACAGCTGGGAGAGGAGCCTCCTGTGCACTAGGTAGAGGATGGTGATGCCTACAGGCCAGGGCATAGGGCAGCCTCTACCTTCAAGTCGGTCTTGCTACATGTCAGAAAAGCCTGGATGAGCACATCCAGAGCCATGAGTTTACCAGAGTTTAGGAGGGGCCAAGCATTTCTCTATCGCACTCCTAACCATGTGTCCTCACACCCAGCAGCATCAGCCATGTGGGTCCCATCGCAGATAGCAGCCCAGCCAGCAGCAGCAGCAAGAGTCAGGACAAGAGCCTGCTGCCCACAGAGCAGGAGTCCAGGTAAGTGGGACCTCCTCACCTGGTCATTTGTACCCTCTGAACACCCCCCCAAGACACACAAGTAAGAGAGGGCATTACCCACTCCCACTCCAAAACAGCAAGTGCCCACCCATGAAATCAGGCTCTAAGAGTGCACATTCAACCCAAGCCTGTAGGGACAGCCAGCTGGTCTGTTGGCTTGGTAGCATAACCAGACATAACCAGGTCAAGCATGAGCCAAGGCTGCCCTGAGTTTTATGTAGCCCAAGCCACGCTGCCCCTGGGATCAGGGTTCACGCATCTTCAAACCAGCATCACGACTCTGTTCTTTGCTTCCACTGCAGATTTGTGGACTGGCCTACCTTCCTGCAAGAGAACGTCCTCTACATCCTGGCTGCTCGCCCCAACAGCGCAGCCATTCACCTGAAACCCCCAGGATAACATGGAGCAGAGAAGCTTGGTTTGAGGACAGTGACATCCTCTCCCCCTTTCCTTTCTCCCTTCCCCCACCAACCTCTGGCACTGAGACTCATGGGGTCGGGATACTGCCAGCGTCTTAATTTGTTACTAAGCTTTATGGCACTGAAATCACCATTCCCCTCACAACAGAGGCAGTGAATGCATTGCCACACAGAGAAGCCCTGGTAGCTCTGGCAGCATCCTCTCCTGGACTGCCCCTGCCCCACATCATAGATGGGACCTGCCACCACACGCATATGGGTGTGCACATACTGCCCAGCTGTCCATGCCTTCAGAAGCCTGGTTCTTTTTGGTTGAGAAAGGACCAAAGTCCCTTTGTGAAGGCCCTCGTATAGAGGAAGGGGTCTTTACTCATCCCTTCTATTGGCCAGTTCTGATTTCCAATAGACAAGTCTCTGACCAAGTGATTTTTAATAAGGGGGCATGTCAGACTCGTATGCCTGCCTGGAGATCCTGGAGATGCTAACAGGCCCCACACTCCCCACTGAAAATCCCTTCTGCTGTGAGCCACTGTTACTAGTAGGCATGCATTGTGTACCTCGGCTGTACTGAGTTGGGAAAATAGTTAAACATCACCACTGCAGTTCAGCCCTTTATTTATTTAAATTCCAATTCCTGGTGACAGAGAATGCAACTAGCCTGGGGAATCCTGACTGGAAGAGGGGGAGGCAGCCCTTCCCAGGGACCCAGGATTCTAGGAACCTCTCAGTGAGATCACTTGAGTCCACAAGTCTTTAGCAGGATAGTCAAAAATCAAGGTGAGCCTTCTTGGCCCCTATTTTCCAGATGGTAGTTCATGGCCCGGGCCAAGGGGGCCTGAATGGAACAAACACACTGGCGGGAGCCACAGCCCTCTGTGTTAGATGCTTCATCCAAGTCAGCGACCACAGAGACTGAGGAGAGCACACTCTGGAGGAAGAGGAGAGAATGGGGCTCATGCTTCCTCATTTCAGCTCAACTCACTGTAGACACCAGCCCAAGAAAGAGCAGCTCTGCAGAGCCCTGAACAGGGACTCTTTCAGCCATCCTGACAAAGAGGATAAGAGGCTGGGGTTTAAGAAGAGGCTCTGCAGAGAAGGTCCTGGGAAAGCCTTACAGAAGGAGAGGTTTCCCCTTCTCCCTGTCACTGAGACATGCACAGCCTGAGTGGCAGCTTCTCCTCGCTGCTCACCACAAGTCCTTCCTCACCAGGCTAGGGCCTGGGCCTGGCATGGGAGGCCTTCTGGGGCAATCAGAGGCTGCCACAAGAGCACCAGGCCTGACCTCCAAGCCCAGCAACCCCCATCTTCCTAAGTACTCATCAAATTCAAATTCTCCAGTCTGCATGTTATGGCTCGTCCTGGCCCTGGGGTCCAGGTTCTAGGCTTCTGTTTTCAACCTAATGACTTAGGCATAGCCAGATCTGACTACCAAGAGTTATTCAAAAGGGAGTGGAACACAGTCATGCAGAAGCAAACACATCTTTATTGCTCGAGGCCCTTGTGCTAAATCCGGTGCATACGGAAGAAAGCACACACCGCTCAGTGCTGAATGTTTCGAGGAAAGCAGGGAGTTGCAGCCAGGAGCTTGGTGAGAGCCCTGTGTAGTCTCCTCCTGTAGGAACTGCCTGAGCTGGAAGCAGGATGGTGAGCTGCTGGGGTTGGATTATTTGGGACTGAAATAAAGCAGACAGGAGACGGATCTGGGCTCAGGTGTGTGGCCCACAGCTTTGGGAAATACTCTTCAGCCATCCCCCAGGACTCATCCATAGAAGGGGCCATTATTCTGTCTAGTCAAAAAAAGAAAGTGCAGGACTCCAGGGCCCAAGAACTGTATCTGAAGCAGCCAGGCCTGGGGTTTTGCACTGAGAAGATTAAAGCACATTAAGCACAGGGGCTCTTACCCAGTCTCCTGGCAAATCATCTTCTGTGCCCGTGGCCTTGGGCTGCTCAATCTCACAGGGCATTGTGAGTAAAGACAAGCTCTGGGCTTTGAGAGCTGAACAGCATTTTTCTCCTGCCTCATCAGTCATAGGGACTGGAAGTCCATCTTGTTCTCTGATCCTTCACAGATCAAGGTGATGCCTACCTCTTTGGAGCTGCTGCCTCTAGCTCTCCGCTGGTGAGTGAGGAGAGTTGGTGGGCCAGGTCAGGCCTGCCATATTCCAGGGCCTGGCAAAGCACCCCCAGAGTTCTTCCACAACAGGTGCAGGCCCATTTGGGATCACCCTTCTCCTGTTCCAGAACAGCAGTCTTCCTGGGTGAGGGCCTGTAACAGAGATCCATGGGGCACTTCCCCAGCAAAGAATAGATTTCCCAGCCCACAAGAGTCCTAGGAAGCAGAAAAGCACAAAGGAGCAGCTGGCATCTTCTCCACAGGCATCTAGCTTTTTACCAAAGGGGAAGTGCCATTGCTCCCCAAGTCCAGAGTTGCAGAAGCCCCGCCCCAGCCTCCTGTCCAGAGTCTCCCTTTGCCATGTCCTAATTGCCAGAGCCTCTCTGTGATATGTATAGAGATGTTAAAAACGTTCAGAAACCTAGTGAAGCCCATTTCCTTTCCTTTCCAAGCTCTCCCATCACTGTGACTCTCTGAAATTCTGTCAAGTCCAAATATTAGCATCAGGCTCCAATAAGGGTATGAGAAAATATTTCAGTCTTTTCTTCTTGGCTACCCAAATTTACGATCAGTGTTTCCAACCAAGGAAGGCCTGGGTTACAGGCCTCTGTAGGCCACTTCTGATAGGCTCCTCTGAAGGCCACTTTCCCTAAGCATTTTTCACCTGGCATTCCTCTTCCCCATGTTCAGCTGTGAATGAAGAGGCAGCTGGATGATGCGGTGGAGCTGTGGGGTCCAAGGGTCACCTGAGGCAGTGGCCCTGGCCACGAGACCTCTCCAAGTCTGCCCCTTGGCTTCCTCTCCTGAGCCCAGCCTTCCCCAACAGAACACTTGAGCAAGGGCCCCTAGGGTGTCCCAGGGATGGAGCAGTCCCCTCACTCATAGGTACTGATCTAACCCTCAAGTGCCCCTCTTCATTTGAGGACAGCCACAGTAGAAACCATGAGGACATTGCCTCTTTCTGCCCTCAGTGCAAGCACCTGGGGCTAGCAGGGCAGATACCAGCCTTTCTGGCTCTACTGCTCCCTATGGGATGTCACTCTGACCTTGCTTAAGTGGCCAATTCTTAGGATCCCCTTATTTCTGTCACCATTATGAAAAGGACAGAATTAAACTGCCTGGGAAGAGGGCACCTCACTAGAGAGTGAGCCCCAGGGTTGTACCCAGGACTCATAGCCTAAAACACAACCTCAACCATTGCAGCTTTCACAGCTTCAGTCAGAGTGGTGCCAGGAAGCCCAAAAGCCAAGAGGGAAGATCAGCAGAAGCTGCCTGGCAGGGCCACCCCAAAGCCAAGAGAAACTTCAGGCAGGACTGAGAACTGGTAGCTGGCTCCAGTGATCCTGCAAGCATGTTCCCTTCAGACCGTCAGAGTGAAGACAGATAGACACATGACCCTAAAAGGCAGAAAAGTTCTGATGCCAGAACTTCGGGACATCCTGGCAGCACCTGTCACCACAGTCCCTTTTTAGACCTCCTCTATTTACAGTGAAATAAAATTCCTATTTTCTTTTTTATTTACTTTTTTTTTTTCCTTATTTCATGCTCTTATCTGAAAAATTGCTACTTTCTCCTACCACTTAGTTTGAATTTGCCCAGGATATCTCTCTGGGCCCCTGGCTGCAACCCAGACAATGGCAAGATCTCCTGGAGTGGGGGATATTCATGCATCGTGCCTGTTCCTGACGGCTCAGCCCTGGCATGGGGTGGGACTGGGCATTTTCTCTGCTGTTGCTTTTCTGCTGCCACTATTTTTGGCAACCTTGAACAGAAAATAAACAGATTACAGAATTTCTACTAGCACTAAGGAAAAGCTTTTTCCCTCTGGGCCACCTGCCCCAATGGCCCATGGAAAGGGGCTCAGCTCTGGTCTGGGCCAGTGACTAAGAAGCTCAGTCACCTTCCAGTTTCTATAGCACTGGGTAGGCATGACCACAGTTGAGAATATCAAGTTATAAGTAGCCAGGCATTTCCATAGCCATGGTGACACAAAGGCCTTCAAGATTAGCCTCCTGCCATCAAGGATTGGCCTGTGATCTGTATCCCAGCCAAACCCAAGCTTGTGAGAGGGACTCTGAGAACACTTGAGTAACACTGGGAAATCCAATGTGCTCTGGTCCTTCATGCCCTTCCCATGTGCTTTTCTGAAGAAGGTAACTTGACAGTCAGCTGAGGGGAACGTCCCCAAGCCCTGTCTCCCCATCTCTATAGCTGCATGCTCCTCTGTGCGACCCAGCCTTCACAGCACTCCAGAAGGAGCTGATGCCCTGAGGCTGGGCACAGTAGAAATTATAATAAAGCGATTGTGATGCTCTATCAGCTTCCTGTTTCTTGTTGTTTGGGGAACCTGCCATTTCTGTGTGGTTTCCCATCATTGACCAATTCCTGGGTCTGAGTATAAGAAAGGTGCAGCGCGGCCGCCAGAAAGGATACAACATGCTGTGACTCTTTCTAGAGCTCTCCTGGCCGTGACCTTCCCAAGAATCAAGAGATGGGTGCCGGTAGGGGCACCACACATACTAATACAGAGATATTGATATTTCTGTATCCAGCACAGATAAAACACTGAAGCAGGGAGCCAGAGCTTTCAGAGAAATTGAGGATGAGGTCATAAGGTCTCCAAGGCTGTCTGCTATGTGTTATCTCTCCCCCATGCCAGGCCCCAGGGCCAGTTTTAGACACTTCCCAGTTCCTCCTGAGCTAAAAGTAAGGATAACTCATTGGCTGTTTTATTCTGGTCTGAGTGTTTCCTCCCCATTTTGACAAATTGCTTTAATGTAATATCATAGGGTTGGGAAAACTAAGATTGGAGATGCACTCAGAGGACTATGGGATCCCCTTCATCCCTTTTATCTGGTCAGAAGAGAGCCAACACCTGTAGGTGAGAAAGCATCTCTAGGCTGTGGATCAGAAGCTGATATTCTACCTCCAGAACCATAGAGGATCCCAAGTACAAGTAGTTTCTAACATTTTTTTGAGCACGTACTATGCACTTGGCAGTACTTTGCATAGAATCATTAATCTTCACAATAACCCTATGAGATTTTCATTACAGGTGAGAAAGATGAACAGAGAGCCCATGTTTTTCAAGGTTATACAACCACACAGGAAGTGGGGGAACCAGGCAGTTTGCCTTCAGAGGACATGTTCTTAGCCACTTTGTTGTGCTTCCTGTCAAAGCACACTTCAAAGGAACCACTGCTATGTGGACCAGCACCTCCCTCACCACCTTGGGAATAGACATAGACAGGTAACCGGCCTGTAGCCATGGCACAGATTTCTTACCACTGCACAATTCACCCCGTCCACTCACCAAGCTCCCACACCTCTCCTCCCTGAGTTTTCACATGGGGTCCATCAGACTGAGAGCAACTTAATGTTATCCCAGCCCCTTGTCCTTGTCTCCAGGCTCAGTGAAGCTAAGCATTGGGACAGAAAAAGAGTCATAAAGGCTAGATGTCTGTGGGCCCTAATGAATGTTTCCCTGCCCTCAGTTCAGCAGTCCTGGCTGGAACTTTAGACACTCTGAGGACTGTTCCTCCCACCAACTGGCTGGGGCCTCGATTTTATACAAACCTACATCCACCTGGTCCTGCTCTGGCTGAAATGCATTTCCTCTTGATCCCTGGGGAGAGTCATTCCTTAAGAGAAGCAATGGCTACTAAATTTGCTAAACATGGAGTAGTGCTTTCTATCCCACTACTTCATCCTTTCTAAGGGTTGCCTGGAGGTTGACTTTGCTGAAACTCAGTTTCCTCAACTGTAAAATTTGTAGAACAGCCCCTATCCTGTCAGCTTCCTGGGCTGGTAATTGAGGAGTTTTGTAAGAGGATAGAGCTTTATAGACTGTAAGACACTGAGTGAGAAGCAAGGATTTCTGCTCCATCTGAAGGCTGTGAGTGTATAATCTCCACCCTCCCACAATCCCAGGCATAGCTGGGGGTACTATGATCAGCTCTGTCCAAAGTGCTGAAGTCACAGCCAAGCCCACTGAGGACCTTCAGTCCCTCCTTGTCCCACCTTTGAGTAAACATCAAGTTCAGAGATTTCCAAGCCCAAAGATTGCCCTAAAATTGAGAATGTATTGTCAACAATTTTTTTAATTTTATTTCAAGTATCTTTGTTTAAAATGAATATAGCTCTCCATTCAAAATTATAACAAGTACAGATAAACAAGAGGTGATTTAACAGCTCAGGGAGAAAAGAGTTTGTGGTCTTTTTTTTTTTTTTTAGATGGAGTTTTGCTTTTGTTGCCCAGGCTGGAATGCAATGGCGCATTATCGGCTCACCACAACCTCCGCCTCTTGGGTTCAAGTGATTCTCCTGTCTCAGCCTCCCAAGTAGCTAGGATTACAGGCATGTGCCACCATGTTCAGCTACTTTTTTGTATTTTTAGTAGAGATGGGGTTTCACCATGTTGGCCAGGATGGTCTCGATCTCTTTACCTCATGATCCACCCACCTCTGCCTCCCAAAGTTCTGGGATTACAGGCATGAGCCACAGTGCCCAGCCTCAAGCTTGTGGTCTTAACTCAGTATGGGTGAACAGTATGAGGTGGCTACCAAAAAACAAACAGGCTGGGCGCGGTGGCTCACGCCTGTAATCCAGCACTTTGGGAGGCCAAGGCTAGTGGATCACCTGAAGTCTGGAATTCAAGACCAGCCTGGCCAACATGGTGAAACCCCGTCTCTATTAAAAATACAAAAATTAGCCAGGTGCGGTGGTGCACACCTGTAGTCCCAGCTACTCAGGGGGCTGAGGCAGGAGAATCGCTTGAACCCGGGAGGCAGAGGTTGCAGTGAACCCAGATTGTGCCATTGCACTCCAGCCTGGGCAACAGAGTGAGACTCTGTCTCAAAAGAAAAAAAAAAAACTGATGTAATCTGAGCCTATGTAGAAAGAAGTTCAGAGTCAGAGGAGGGAGGTTGGCCAGCTCATTTGTACCCTGCACCAGCTCTCCTGGAAAAAACTAATCAGAAAAAAAAAAAAAGAAACAACAGAAAAAAAAACATCAGAACTGGGCACCACAAACTGAAACCCATTCAGCGTAACATGATCTGATCTTAGTGGGTAGAATTGAAAAATGCAAGGGATGAACCCATGAAGGTATGAGTCCTGTAGAGAAGCAGATTTGAAGGACACGGATGGTGACGTTTGGCAGATGGGCCAATGAGGTCAATGTGGTCCCAAGGACAGAGATAAGATGAAATGTGAACACTGTGGAGGGCAGATTTCTGCTCTAGGACCAAACAGAACTGGTTACCAGGGAAGGCAGTGGAGCTTTATTAAGCGTGTGACAGAAATGCTGAGTTGAGGGTGGGGTCACTTCACTCCTCTTGAGACCTGAGATGCCAGCAAACAGTTAAGCACATTCTGTGCACGCCCAGCGCTGAGCCCAAGTGAGCCAGAAGGAAAAGATTCATGACTGTAAGGACCCACAAAACCCCAAAGTTTTGGCATTAAAAACGAGAATTTTTTTCAGTTCACAGGTGGGCTCTTGGATGCTTGCCTCTACAACCTGATGTTGCACGCCCTCTGCTGGTCATCCCTAACATTGCTCTCTCATCCCAAGGCAAAAAATCACTCACTCTGAACCCTTTTGGGGCTGGTCAGCATAGGTTCAGAACACACAAGCAGACGCCAGTGAGTATCAGAGTCAGATCCCTGGTAGTGTTCAGTTAGTTCAGTATAGGATCATAACTGAATCTGAAGATGAGTTTAAGTATTTGTATCAAAACTAGGGCTCATCAATATCTAGGAGGAGGGTTTAGGCAGAGGCTGGATTTGGGGAACTGTCTCTACCAGGACAATAACCAGGTTGTGTCTCAGGCTCAAGTCATAGTTGGGACTCAGTGTGGGACCAAAGTCTGAGCCTGGGTGTCAGCATGAAGCAGGTATCAGGTGAGACGCTCAGTCTGATCACAGGAGGAAGGCCATCTGCAGCCAAGGTAATGGATCAACATGGCATTCCTACACCCAGGAAAAAGCATCAGGTAATGAGTACCCAATCACTGGAGAACTCAAGAATAAGCAGGGAGACTGCCCAGGAGAGAGAGATGAGGAACAGAAGACAGAAGGAGGTAGTCACTCTTTTTTTTTTTTTTTTTTTTGAGAGGGAGTCTCTAGCCTGTTGCCCAGGATGGAGTGCAGTGGCACAATCTCAGCTCACTGCAACCTCCATCTCCTGGGTTCCAGCAATTCTCCTGCCTCAGCCTCCCAAGTAGCTGAGATTACAAGCATGCGCCACCAAGCCTGGCTAATTTTTTTTTGTATTTTAGTAGAGACGGAGGTAGTCACTAATTTGTAAGGTCCTCCCAACTTTAAGGATGGTGACAGGTAGGCCAAGGAGCCCCCTTTTCCTCAGTATTCTAGTATTCCAGTATTCTAGTTGTGGTTTCCTATTAAAACCCCCGCTCCTGTTCCCACGCACACACTAGTACTACCACATATAAATCATAGGTACAACTGGGGAGAGAGCGGCCCAAGGGCTAGTTCTGTCACTGCAGAGAGCTGGCAACTGTGGGGGTAGTCTTCCTTTCCCCCAGGATTCTCTGTTTCTACTGGCAACAGGGCCTGACAGCCTCCCACACCCAGATCTTAGCAACCATGGGAACCCCTGGCAACCGCTACCATGGTGACAAGACAGGGAACTGAGAACAGGCTGGGGGGCACTTCCTCTGCAGCCTTTGAGATGTGAGCAGGATAGGGGCTCCCTTCCCTATACAGTCTGGGAGGGAACATGTGCCTCTGTCTAAAACACCTCCTCACTGGCACCCACCCCCACCCCTGCCCACGGATTCCGGTTCCCTCAGGGTGAGGAAATGAGGGACATCTAGGGTTATGACGTCTCCAAGGGGAGGGAGGGTGAGTGGGGGCGTTTGGGACTGGCATGATCGCAGATGTGTGCATATGCTGGCAGACATTATGTCAACGTGTCAACAGCCACATACCTCATCCACTCTGTCATGTAGAGACATGCCCTCACAGTCATTTACTCACACATGTACACTGACCCAAAATCATTTACCTACAACATATAACAGAATTGGGCACACCACTACACAAAAATAACTACACAGATCCACTCTCATAAATCACATTACCAGTACTACACTACAAATAACTCCCAATCAGACTCAGATTTATAGATGCACTCGAAGTCCCAGCATTTGTGAACATGAAAAGTAATGGTTAACTTGATTAACTCAACCAAGTTAACCATTGGTTGGGTATAAACTACATGCCCAGCTCAGAACTAAGTGCACTACCTGCATTACCTTAATTAACCCTCTCAATAACCCCCTGAGGCGCTGATCCCCATTTACAAAGAAGGAGATGAGGTGTGAGTGTGGCCTGTAAGCTCACAGTGTCCATAGACTCCAGAACCACACTGTCTCAGTCCACACCACACTGAGCACCACACACTGTCATGGTCCATGTGACACTGAGCACCACAAACACCTGAGGCCCAGGACAATGGGACAAAGGGCAGAAACCTTGGACTAGGCAGACAATGGAGTCCATGCCATCAACACTTGAAGGCATAGTCCCACACCCTCAAAGGTCCAAGCCTACACTTTAGCATTAGCAGGGGCCAGGTAAAGGCTGGTGACTAAACTCTCTGCCTCCGTGTTGGCACAGGCAAGGCTGGGGGAGGCAAAAAAGACAGAACTGGAATAGGAAGAAGTAGAGCCACCCACAGCCTGGGCCCCACAAGTCTGGAGGTGGGAGAGTGAGAGCCCCCGGATCTGAGGAGCCAGCAGGGGTGCAGGGCCCCTCACCCCACCTCACCCATCTCTGTCACACCAGTCCATCCCTCCTTCCTCCCCTCCCCCTTCCTCATTCCACCCCACCCCATCTCTGTGCCTCATCCTTTCCTTGCTCACCCCTTCTTTCCTCATCCCTCACCCTGCCTCCCCGCCCCTCCTCAGCCCCTTTCCTCTCCCCTCCTTACTCCCACCCTATCTCTCCTCTGCCCCATGCCCCTCCCTTCCCCATCTTCCTCACCCCATCTCCCCCTCCTCTCTCCACCCATCCCCACCTCCCCTCTCTCAACCCCATCTCCCCAAATTTCTCATGCTCCTCTTTCCCCATATTCAACACCCCATCTCTGCTCCCCTCCTGGGCTCAACTCTGCCTCCTCTCCATCCTCCTCTCCCCCCAGGTCCCTTTCTTCCTCCACATCTCCTGCCCCTTTACCCTCGGGAGCCCCATAGTAACTCCTGGCACGAAGTCAGGTAGTGAAGAATCTGCAGACCTGACCCCAGGATCCCGGCCCCCTCCCTGCTCTGCTCTTGGCCCAGGTACTCAAGCCGCAGTTCCTAGCAAGGCCTCATGGGTGTCCAAACTCTCTCTCTGGGAAATAGGAAATAAAGAAGTAAAGGAGTGCTTCTGCCCTGACCCTTCCTTTATCATCAACCCCCCGGCACCCCCCTTCCCTCTTCACCCCCAGATTAACCCCCCCACCCCCACTCCCTCGAGCACAGATGGGCCTGGGAGACAGTGACGTGGGCGCCAGGCACCGTGTCTGCTCGAGCGGCGGCTTCCGCCGGCGACCGCCTCCGCATCCCCGCCTGCTCCTTGCATCGGGGACACTGGGGCTGAGATCTAATGACTTAATGGGGAGTGGGGGAGACTAGAGAGTCTAAGGATGTTAAGGAAGGGGATCATGGGGAGAGAGATGAAAGATTACAGGGGAGAGCTAGGATGGGGGAAATCAGGGGTGTAGAGAAAGGACCAAGAATGGGACAAGACAGATCACTGGGGGAAGACAGTAGATCAGATCCTCGAGGGCTAAGAAGGAAAGGGCTAAAACACAAGCACTCAAGGGGGAAGCAGGATGAGAGACTGATTAGAAAGGGGACTGAAATGGGGACCGCGGAGTCGCTGAGGAGGGGCGCGAGGATGAGGGGCTGTACAGAGGGTGGGCGGGAGAGACTCGTGGAGGCACCGGCCTGCGCAGAGCTATCCCCTTCCCTCACGGGAGAGGTCCGGAGGGCTTGGAAACCAGGGGTCCGTGAAGTCTGTTAGAGATTCCGTTAGGTCACGTCAGGCCACTGCGGGGTCAGGGTAAGGTAAAGCTAAATGAGGTCAGCTCGAAGTGGCTTCACCGTTGGCTGGAAGGCGAGTAAGAAGTGCTGACCTTTTGGCCCCGGTCCAGGGATTACACCTCCCAGAGTGCACTGTTCTCTCCCCCTACCCCCTCAATTAAGAAAAAAAAGAATGCACGGCCAACTGGTGGGTGCAGTTTTCCTTTAAGGTTGCCTTTGACGTCGCACGGGTTCCAGAAGGTTCTCCTGGGATTCGAGCAGTGGCCAGTACGTCCCACCTTCTCAACTCGGAGATTGGACTAATATAGTTGCCCCGGGCTCGGGTCTGAGTCTCAAGCACGAACCAATAAAATCAAAGGGCGAGCGGGGTTGCCGCCCTCTGTCTTTTTCACCAATGGCACGACGAGATGGCAAAGAGGCGTGGTTGAATGATCCCAGAGGGCGCCAATCAGATCCACACCAATCACTGCTTGGAATGTGTGCGCGTGTGGCCGGGTGACAGGGGCGGAGGATGGGCGGCTATCACCAAGCCGCTCGTTGAAAGCTGCCCAATCACAGCAGAGGCTGAGTTGAGTGACGGGTAGAAGGCTCAATGGGCGGCGCGGAGGCGGAGCCGTGGGGGGCGGGCTCCCGGTCCCGCTGTCGGCGGCCGGCGGGCAGGCGACTCCTGTCCCGGGTGGAGGCGGCTGAGCCGGAGCCGGGGGAGGGGGCAGCGACTGTCTCACGGACCACGGCGGCGCCCGCAGCTCCTCACCGGTGAGGGCGCCGAGCCAGGACTCGGGGGTCCCGGGAGAGGGGCGTCGCGAAGCCAGGGCTCCTGGTATCGGGGGGAGGAGGGGTTGGGACACTGAGGGCCAACTGCCGTAGGCTCTGCTGCCCTGTGGGTGCGGGGCCCCGGGGTCTGCAGGGTGTTCGGAGTCCGCGACCCGGGCTTGGCTGTCACAGGAGGCAGCGTCTGAGCCGGGGGAGGGGCGGGGAGGGGAGGGTCGGACCGGATTGGGTTCTGTGGGGCGGAGGCGTCCGTGAGCAGGCCAGCCAGCCAGCGCGGGTGACATCACCGACCACCCTCCCCCGCCCGAGCCCCCTCCCCTTCTCTCCGCGCCGCGCCTTTTGTCCCGGCCGAGCTTCGCTCTGCCCCGCCCATCCGCGAGGGAGGAGACTCCCGTCTGTGACTTCATTGAGTAGGTTCTTGGGGATTGGGGTCGGGTCCTCCCCAGGGAGAGGCGACAGGAGCTCACTGCCTCTCGGGCCCTCACAATCACACCTGTCACAGGTACACACACTGCCACTCACAAACACGCTTGCACTGCCAGCCTCACTGTCACACTGCCATACAACCGCTCACAGCCAGCCAGACACTGCTGCACCTGACAGCAGGTGGCCGTGGGTCCTGTCCCTTCACTCTCCACACCTGGGGATCAGGTCCGGCACCTGCTGCGCCAGACAGCCCTTGCTGGGCACGCGCCTCTGAGAGTCTGAGGAGGTGGCTTCCAGAGCTGCAACACTCCAGGCCGGCTCCGTGGAGCGATCAGAGGTGAGGGGCTTGGCTGGGCATGTTTAAGCGCACAGTGCTCTCCTGCCCACCCCCAGCAGCACCCCCACTACAGGCCCGAGGAGCTTTCCGGAGCTTCCCACACTCCTGGGGAGAAGACTTCTTAGCCAGCTTGATGTTTAAAATTCAGCTGGAGCCCTTAAAACTTCGAGCGTGGACGCTGAATGGGTTTGTAAAGTTTCGGTAAGTCCCTCCGGAGAAGGGCACTCATACCCATACCCAGTCAAACCCTTCACGTGGCCATCCCCTCCATTGCCTTCCTGCTTCCTCCACCTCATCCTCATCCCCTCCATGACATGCAGGAAGCCCCCTCCTGCCTTACTCTCATATCTGAATGAATTGCATCCCTTATCATTCCTCTCCTATCTCAAATCCTTTGGGCATCCATTTTCTACAGACATTTCCTCCAATATTTCAATTCTCCACACATTCATCCCTTTCAACCCATCATTAACCGGTTTTCCACCTCAGCCATTTCCATCTGTCACTCATCCCCCTCCATCAGTACCTCATTTTCTGTGTCAGCCATCTCCCCTCCCTGTACCTCAAAAGTCCCCCTCGCTATTTTCTCCCCATCTTTCTTTCCTGCCTCTACCTTAACATCCTCCTCATTCTTCTCCATCAAAGGCAGTGCCATGCCATGGGGATCCTTTGTCATTCCAACACGTGGCCTGTGGGTAGGGGGGAAGGGAAGGAGGGAGGAAAGCAGAAGGAGAAAAAGGAGGCAGAGCTGAAAGAGCTTGCCCTGTGTCTGTGGAGGCAAGAGATGTATGGGCCTAGAGCAGCCAGCAGGTGGGTACCATGGAGGAAGCTGGCTGGGTGTGGAGGTAATGCAGGGACAGCAAAAGGAGGTGGGTGGTTGGCGAGCTGTCCCACTGGCCCTCTGCCTGGAAGCTGCTCTAGTTCTCTGGGGGCACCCTCTTGGTGTGCTAGGGTTCCTTCCCAGTCCCAGGGAAAAGAAGGTGTGGGCTGAGGCAGAAATGGCAGACCACCCCCAGCTCCCTCTCAGACGGCTTTTGCTGCCATTTCTGAAAATGGCTGCCCCCTCCAGGCGCTCTTTCTTCTCAGCCTCCCCCAACCCCTGTCTCCCCCACAGATGTGACATGCTGGTGGGGGGCAATGGGGGAGTACCCGCCTATGTGGAGTCTTTTTCGTCAGAGAAAGGTGACTCCCAGAACCATGAGTCAACCCAGCCACCCGCAGCAGGCCCTGTGGGGGCAACAGTGAGGGCCATTGTCCCTGCCCACCTAGGGCCTTGGGTGCCTCCCCCTTACCCGTTTACAGCCCTCACTCCTGCCAGGACACCCTGTATACTTCCCTGCTGTGAAGCAGTCAGAGGCAGAAAAGCAGGCCTCAGCTGGGGCTGCCAGCCTAGGACATTGCTAGAAAGACTGGTTCTCCTGACCTTGGTGGGGTTTGGCCAGGTCTCAGAAGGGTGAGAATGGCTTCTGGCCATTCCTCTAGAGAGCTCTACCTACAGGAAAGAGCCCCTTCCCCTGATATCCACCACAGACACACCGATGGAGGAAGACTGAAATGGAAGAATTCGGGTTGTGCATTTTTTTTATAACAAATGCTTCTGCACCCACCTTAAAAGGGATCGTCAGAGGAATATGGGACTGACACTGGGCCCAATCCTAAACCACAGGGGTGGACTGGGGACATGGGGTGGGGCTAGGAATGGTATTAAGGAAATGGTGGTTGGTTAGTGCCCAATTGTCTCCTAACCACTGGGGTTTAGAAACTCCTGTCCCCAGGAAGCTTTTGTTCACTCACACTTGTGCTTAGGCAGCACAACCCTTGAAGTTTTGTGTGTAGATGCTGGGAAATGAGTAAAGGGAACTGTTGCCTCGATTGGGGGAAGGACAGTATCTCCCCCGATCCCCCCTTTCCCCCCTATCCGCCCCCTGCCCCCGCTAATGAGGGAGTTGGAAACAGCAGTTTCCAAAGGCTGTGAGTCACCCTGTGATCTGAGTCACACGTGAGCATCCTCAGAGGGGTGGGGGCAGGGAGGCCTGGGGTCTCCAGTGGCAGAGAAGACTCCAGACACCCATTCCCTGACTCAGTCTGGCTGGCCAGGACAGCTGGCGGAAGACCCAAGCCTGTTCCCAGTCCTGGGCCACTGCCCCAGCTGCCCTCAACCTGACATCATGCCTGAGGCATGGCGCAGGAGACCACGATGCTCAGGTGACCTCACCCATTACACTGACCTTCGCCAGCTCCTGTGCATGGGTTGCCCAGTCCATGGTGCCACCTCACTCAGCAGGGCCTCTCAGGGGTCCTCAGTCTGGCCCAAGGACCAGAGCCTCAGCCTAGCCCCAAGAAGTGGGCCACAACCTTCAGCTTCCTGCTGGGAAAACCCAGGAGGTGAGGACGGAATCACAGAATCCTAGAATGTCAGAGCCGGAAGAGATCATCTAGTCCAAATCTTTCGTTTTACAGATGGGGGACACAGGCCCACAGAACAGGCATGACCTGCTGAAGGTTACCCAGGGAGTCATTTAGGGATTGCAAGATCATAAGGAACAGGGCTGGGGCAGAAGACAAGAAGGCATCAAGTCTTGGCCCTGGGTTTCTTTCAGAAACAAGGAGACCAGTGCTGGTCCAGTGGCTGTGATGGGAAAAGATTATTACAAGATTCTTGGGATCCCATCGGGGGCCAATGAGGATGAGATCAAGAAAGCCTACCGGAAGATGGCCTTGAAGTACCACCCAGACAAGAATAAAGAACCCAGTGCTGAGGAGAAGTTTAAGGAGATTGCAGAGGCCTATGATGTGCTGAGTGACCCCAAGAAACGGGGCCTGTATGACCAGTATGGGGAGGAAGGTAAGAGGGCAGCACTCTAGCCCAATCCTGGACCCCTGTGCTTGGTGGGGGTCCTGGGTGCACCAGTTTTTGTAGCAGGGAACTGGAGGCTGTTGGAGGGGATGAGGGCGGCGAGGGTTTCTAACACTGCTACCCAGAGGAGAGAGGAGCCCACCCACGAACCAGCTCAGCTCACCATAGTTCTCCCTGCCTCTTTCTGCCCTTCTCCCTCCTCAGGTTCAGGCCTTAGAGAGGTCTGAAACAACAGCCAGGGGCCTTCCCTGCCCTTCTTTCCTTCCCAGCCTTATTAGTCCTGCCTGAAGTCTCTGCTGCTTCATTGGCTGATGGGGAAGGTTGGAGAGAGGGAGTGTGTAGCTTTCTGAGGACAGAGCATTTACATTCATCAGCATAAAAACCTGGCCCTTAAGCAGCCTGGGAATTAACTACCAGAGCTCTGAGCAGAAATGGTTGTCCCCTTCCCTCCCCCAGCCCTGCCTGCTTCTTGCCAGCAGAACAGACATGGAGCTTTTCGTCCCAGAGGAAGTGGCAAGGATCCAAGGGTGGAAAGGGAACCGAGGCTGGCATCTGACCCCCTCCCTGGGGTAGCTGGTGGCCACAGTGTAGGAGGCAGTAAAGGCCCAAATAAAGCCTCTGAGAGGGAGGCCCCTCCCAGAACATCCCACGGCCATGATGTAGCTGCTAATTCTGGGCCTGCCCGTCAGGGCTGCCTGCTACCCGCCAGCCACAGGCACCTGTCAGGCTATATTAAGAGACATTGTCACAGCTGAGGACTCTCCTTCCTAGGAAGAACTGTCCTTCCTCCCCAACAGTATCCACCTTTTTTGCACATTGTCCTCCTCTTCACCCTCCCCATCTATCCTCAAAACTAAATGGGCTAATCATATGTAGATAAGTTTATTTTCTTCCCCTCTTCCTGGCCTTGGGTTCCATATTCCTCTGTGCACTCTTGTCCTCCCAACGCCCTCTTCCTATTCTCCATGCTGCCGGTTCCTTCCATTCTTCCTGCTTACCTTCCAGACGTGCCAACTCCCAGATTTACCAGACACTGGCTGGAACCCCCCCCATATTCTCCAAGCTAAGACATATTTCTCTCTGGCATGGAGGGAGGGGAGGGATAGAAGTGGGAAAAAGGGAAGCAGTGCAGATACCATGCCACCATGTGACCTGTCTTGGAATTGCACTCATTTCTCCATTCAGCCTCACCTTTGTTTAGAAAGAAGGCAGTTGCTGGGAGAGCTCCCCTGAGATACTTCACCCTTTCTGCCTAAGTGAAGGGGTCCAGACACCAGGTCCTGATGCAGAGCCCCATCCCAGAAGGGGCCCCTGGGGATGTGGCATGGCCTTAAGGGTACCTCCATGGCCTGGGGAGGGAGAAGCAGCTTAGAAATGTTGGTTACATTTCTGTCCACCCTGCCCAATCCCATCTTTATAATAGCCATCTATTATAAAGCAGTTATATACACAGACTCTGTGTACAGCTCTGGCTAGGGACAAATTACTCACAGCTTAAAAAGGGGGTGGTAGTGGGAGAGCAGGAATCCTATAGAGAGAATTACCTCTTCCCGTCATCATTGGTCCAGCCTCCCTCCCTCTGTCATCAGCTCTGCCAGGCTGCTTGAACTTGCTTGATAATCAGCCCTTCGATAGAAGGAAAGAAGAGATCCTAGGTCTTGGGGGAGGGGTGAAGAGGCAGCTGCCACGAGTCCCTGAACTGTCTGCCACTTGGCCTCTCTAGTGAAATTCAAACCTACCCTTGTTGTCCCAGGAAATAAGAGGCTAAATTAGGCTCAGATCTTCATGATCAGTTAAAATTCTAGATAAATGGCCTCAAAGAGAAGGGTCTCTTTCCTAGTCTGGGCCTCACCCATAGTCTATGTATTCCGGAGCAGTTCTCAGTGTGAACCCTCTCCCCACATCCCCCACTACTGCCAGCACCCCCTCCTCTGCATGAAGGCTGCTCCAGGAATCTGAGTCCCTTAGACAAGACCCTACAGAGAGAGTAGATAAGGTCACCACCTGCCATGTGCCAGCCCATTCATGCATTTTAGTTGCTCAACATTAGGTGTGGGGTATGGTGTTCACTGTTGTATAACTCCAGGGAGCTCTGTTCCCATTGTAGTCTATGTCTGTACAATGTGTGAATGACACTCCCTAAAGTTGTGTAACACTGAGCAGAGTGTGGGAACAAAGCATTTGAAAACTTTTTCTAGAAAAATAGCTCTTCATCTCCAAGCTAATGGAGCTTCCCTGCTTTTTGAGGCCTCCTGATTTCCCATTTGAGCAGGAGTCAGGGAAAGAGGAAACATTGTTAGAAGCAGAGTGGAAGTGGTCTTCCTCCTGGGTAGGATCCCTACCCTATTTGAGACTGTTCACTTACCAGCCCCCCCGGTCACATCCTGTCTGATTGCCCCTTGTCCTGTATGTCTTTGGAGATAAGCAAAGATTTGGGAACCAGGTAGGTATGACTTGTAATATACCAGGCTATTCATTCAAGGCTGTGTGAGACATCTTTGGACCATGAGTATGTGGAAAAGATTACAGGCCTGGAAGTTACAGTCTCTAAGTCCTCTAGTCCTGGCTTTTCCAGCTATTGGATAAGCCAGCCTCTTTGAATCTCAAGTTGTGCATCGTTATTAAATATATAATCAGGAGTGGAAAATAATCTTGCCAGAAGCCTTTCTTTCTCTATTAGCCTGGCCCTCTCTGTGGGATTTAAAGGTTGCTTCTCTCTTCAGGCCTGTGAACTGGGAGCTAGCAGGCTGGGGGAAGATACTGGGATGGGGCCAGGATGAGCCATACTGCTCCTAACTTCTCCTCCCCTTTAGGCCTGAAGACCGGCGGTGGTACATCAGGTGGCTCCAGTGGCTCCTTTCACTACACCTTTCATGGGGACCCCCATGCCACCTTTGCTTCCTTCTTTGGTGGCTCCAACCCCTTCGATATCTTCTTTGCCAGCAGCCGCTCCACTCGGCCCTTCAGTGGCTTTGACCCAGATGACATGGATGTGGATGAAGATGAGGACCCATTTGGCGCCTTCGGCCGTTTTGGCTTCAATGGGCTGAGTAGGGGTCCAAGGCGAGCCCCAGAACCACTGTACCCTCGGCGCAAGGTGCAGGACCCCCCAGTGGTGCACGAGCTGCGGGTGTCCCTGGAGGAGATTTACCATGGCTCCACCAAGCGCATGAAGATTACGAGGCGGCGCCTCAACCCTGATGGGCGAACTGTGCGCACCGAGGACAAGATCCTGCACATTGTCATCAAGCGCGGCTGGAAGGAAGGCACCAAGATCACCTTCCCCAAAGAGGGCGACGCCACGCCTGATAACATCCCTGCTGACATTGTCTTTGTGCTCAAAGACAAGCCCCATGCACACTTCCGCCGAGATGGCACCAACGTGCTCTACAGTGCCCTGATCAGCCTCAAGGAGGTGGGGCCTAGTTAGCTGTGTGTGCCTGCTGGGGAGATTCCCTCTCTTCCCGCCAGCTGGCACATTCTTTCCCCACTTCAATCTGTTTCCTCCCTTCCCACTCATCTTACCCCACCTTTTCCTCACTTTCTGCTTCATCTTCCCCAGGCGCTGTGTGGCTGCACTGTGAACATTCCCACCATCGACGGCCGAGTGATCCCTTTGCCCTGCAATGATGTCATCAAGCCAGGCACCGTGAAGAGACTCCGTGGGGAGGGCCTTCCCTTCCCCAAAGTGCCCACTCAGCGGGGAGACCTCATTGTTGAGTTCAAAGTTCGCTTCCCAGACAGATTAACACCACAGACAAGACAAATCCTTAAGCAGCACCTACCCTGTTCCTAGGCTCTGCCCCAGACAGTCCAGAGTCTACCACAGCAATACCCCCAACACTCGCCCCACTCAATGTGCACCCAGCTTGATGTCCACTGGACACTGGCAACTTTTTCTAAAATGCAAAAAAAACCACTGGTTTTCAGGAAAATGTTCCTGTCCCTGACCCCTTTCAGAGCTGGGCTGCCTGGGGGGAGTGGGAGGGAGGTGGGGAAAGCTAGCCCAGGCCAGGGGTCAATGTTCATGTCACTAGCTTTGAATCCAGTTTCCACTGCAGTGGCTGGAAAGTGACCTGAGTGCTACTTGAAGATATGTAGAGATTCCTTATCCATGCCTGTACATAGCATGTCCTCCTCCCCTCTCAGCTTTGCTAATACCAGTCCCCTCCCTTCCCTTTGGCTTCCTGCTGCTGGGGGCAGAAGAGAATAGAAAGGACATTGCTGTCTCAGCCCCAACCCCAGGTCCACAGTGTCCAAGGTTATGACACATATTCATGAACACGAAACACTCTTCTAGAGCTGTCTGTGCCTCTCTAGGAGAGAGGAGATGAGATAAGAAGGGAAGGTCCATAACCTGTGAGCAGGGAGGGACTTGAGCATGAGACACTTTTCATCTGGAGCAGAGGGGTGAGCTGGCCTCAGCAGCCTCTGCAACAGCTGCCCTGCCTATACCCACAGAGCTGGAGGTTCTATCCTCCCTGCTGCTCTCAGGAGTGTTCAAGGGTAGAGGGCAGGAAATAGGGCCTGAGGTATTAAGGCTAAGAGGTGGGGGCAGGGCCCATCTCCCAGCCTTCATCAAGAAGGGAAAGAGCTTTGGGGTCAGGTGGCAGCTATTCCTCACCAAGAGATTCAGGGTCACAGGTTTCTCCCCATACCTCTGAACTCAGGGCCTAGCCACCCCCAAACTTCCAAATCCCACTTTTGTGATATGTGAAGCTACTTATTTCTTACCCTTAGAGGCTGTGTGGGGAATTCCCGGCCCTTTTATGCCTGTGTGGCCCCACCCCATTCCCACAGTTGTATAAAGGTCATAGTGAAGGAGCTGGGGGAAGACTACTTTGGCCAGATCCTGGGGTGGGGTCTTTAGGTTTTCTCACTTTAACAAGCCCCTGTATGTTTTTATAGTAGTTTTTTTGTATTTTTTTGTAATGACAGTATTATGTAAAAAATAAAGTATTTTAAAAATATGGCATCTGAGCAGGAGCGACATACCTGGGATGGGGTTGGGTGACTAGGGCTACTGTCAACCTCCCTCCTGGGCCCTGGTCATCTTTGAGAAGCCCAAGCAGGCCCTCCATATAAGCTGAAGCTGACCCCTTCCTGTAAGCCTCCTGGGGTTTCTAAAACATAATATTCCAAACACAGCACAGACAGAAAGTACCACTCAGCTATTAGAAAAAACATCTATTTGGGAAGAAATAATAGATGGGCTAGCTAGTGTGAAAACAAATGATTTTCTTTTCTTGTCTAAATTTTCTCCCACTCAGATAAATTTTCCTTCTAGGAGAGGACAGAGGATTTTTTTTTTTTTTAAAAAAGACAGAGTCTTGCTCTGTCACCCAGGCTGGAGTGCAGTGATGTGATCTTGGTTCACTGCAGTCTCTGTCTCCTGGATTCAAGCGATTCTCCTGCCTCAGCCTCCTGAGTAGCTGGGATTACAGGCATGTACCACCACACCTGGCTCATTTTTGTTAGAGATGGGGTTTCACCATGCTGGCCAGGCTGGTCTCGAACTCTTGACCTCAAGTGATCCGCCTGCCTTGGCATCCCAAAGTGCTGGGATTACAAGTGTGAGCCACTGCTTCTGACAAGGATGAAGGACTTTCTGGCTGACTAGAAGAGACACATCCCCAAAGACAGAGCCTGGACATTGGAGAGGGTAGCCAAAGGTACCTGGTCTCCTTGGCCCATGCTGGTGGGGCCTGGCAGTGGAAACAGGCTCCCTGGGAAGCATTGAACACAGCAGCAAACCCTCAAATCTCACAGTTATCTGGGGATGTCTGTTCTGGCCTCTGACCTGCCTGTGTCTACTGAGACATCTCTGGCCCTCAGGACGTGAGTGGTGGCTGCATGAGGGGTACTTGTCCCTTTCCTGAGATCTGGGTAGGAAGGAGCCCTATAGTTGCAGAAATGCCCATCTGCAGGTTCTGCCTGGCCCTGTATGTCCTCCTGGGCTGACTTTCCTCTGAGCATAAAGCCCACGTCTTCTCCAGGATCAGGCCCATGACAGTCATGCCCTCCTGAGCACCAGGGTCCCCAGTACTATCCAGACAGATGACACTAACTGGCTTTTTTCCCAGAACAAAGACACTGAAGAAAAGCTCCTCATCCTTTCACCTGAGGTACTTTCGTACCTTCTTCGAAAGGAGGAAATGTGTAGAAACCAGGGGGTCTTGCTCACAATGGTATGTAATGCCCTGGCCTGGGCAGGGAGACACCCCCACCCTACATCCCCTACTCAATGCTCTCCTCCTTTTGGATTCCTAAGGTAGCCTCTCTCTTGACTTGTGGCTCAATTCTTGTCCAGGATCTTTCCTGAGGCCGGAAGATTTGGGATTCTAGTCCACTTGGCCAGACTGCTCACTCTGGCCTCTATGTAGACACACAAGACCTGGGAAATTACCATGCCCTGCTGAGCACACTCTTGGGTTAAGGTTTTTTTTTTTTTTTTGAGACAGAGTTTCACTCTTGTCACCCAAGCTGGAGTACAATGGCACAATCTCAGCTCACTGCAATCTCCACCTCCCAGGTTCAAGCAATTTTCCTGCCTCAGCCTCCTGAGTAGCTGGGATTACCAGCATGCACCACCACACCTGGCTAATTTTTGTATTTTTTAGTTAGTAGAGACAGGTTTTCACCATGTTGGGCAGGCTGGTCTCAAACTCCTGACCTCAGGTAATCCGCCTGCCTCAGCCTCCCAAAGTGCTGAGATTACAGGTGTGACCCACCATGCCCAGCTAGGGATAGGATTTTGAGAGCCTAGAAGCAAGGCATCTGAGACAAAAATCCATTTCAATGGGAAAGTCCTCAGGCTGACTGCAACCTTACCTGCAATTTGAACCTTACCCTTCTTAGAAGCTGTGTGAGGGATTTCTGCTATTGTAATGCCTGTGTAACCACCCCTAGAGACACGTATGCCCACCTGCATGCACAGAGTTGTAGAAAAGTCAAGACAGTAAAAGAGCTGTGGGAGAGACTGGTTCAATCTGGTCCTGAGGGGGTGGGGTCTTTATTGGGTTTTCTTACATTGATAAGCCCCTGAATGTTTTTATAGTAGAGGGGTGTGCGTGTGTGTGTGTGTGTAATTTTGTAATGACAGTACTATGATAATCATTTGCTCATCTTGTATGACAGTAATATACTCCTTAAGGTTTGGCTATCCTGGATCTTGGGCAACCAGCATTCTTGGTTGGGGAGCTCTCCGTGGTCACTGGAACCCCTTGACTACTCAAATAGGCATTTACCTCCTGGACATCTTCCCACTGTGGCTTAAGGAGCTGAAGTCTCCTTGGACTTTCTACCTCTCTGACCTCTTTGGCTCTTAAAAAAAAATACCTAATCTCCAATATCCTTTCCCTAAAGAAAAAACTCTGAGAAGATGCTATGCTCTGTGGTGAGCCCCTTCTGACTCCAGGCACTGCTCCTCCATGGTCAGAGTCTGTTGGGACACAGTCTGCTCTCATCTGCTGCGTTTCTCCTGCCATTGTCTGACTTGTAGTGACTCTGGACTGCCTCTCTTAGCCCCCAAATAGTCCCACTCTGACATGACTTGTCCATGGAGAGGGTAAGAGAAGCTAAAAAGTTTATCTGCTCTCTTCATTGAACTCAGGGTTCTCTCGACTTCCTTGCTCACAGTTGAGGAGGCAGGGAAAGGACTTTCCAGAGTGCAGGCTGAATTTACTGTGATAAGCTTATCTCTTGATCTGCCTGTTTCTTTCAAGGAACTAAGCAACCTCAATTTAGCCATCCCTGAAATTTGGGTGGCTAAGGGGTAAAGGTGGACTTGGGAAAGGAGCCATAATTGGGCCTCTATCACCTTAAGGTTTATGGATTGAGAGACTTTAAGAGGTAAGCCCTATCTCTGCCATACTCAAAATCATACCACTTGGGCTTCTAGTGCCCATAGCACCTGCATCAAGAAAGGAAAGCTTCCAAGAGGTAGTTAGGCAGCTTTCCTGCACTGAGGGTGCCAAATTTCCAGTTTTCAAATAGGACTTCCCAGGAGGGATCAATGTATCATTGTCAGCAAGCCATGAACAATACACATCTGTAGGCCTTCTGTCCAAGTGAACTTTCAGGGTGTTTTCCAGTTGCTTCCACTCTAGGTTCTCTCTTGAACACATTTATAAGTCATTTCCTGACCCAAAAGCTCTTGGATCCTGTAGGCCAGGACCCACCAGTGCTACATGAGGCTCTTTCAAAAGTGGTGCTCTAGTTGGTTCCAAATATTGTTGGTTATAGGAAATTCTCTAGGAAGAATGGAAAATGGCACATAGTCTCAGGAGGCCAGGCTGTACTGAGCAAGATTGGGAGCTAGAAGACAAAATGATTCCTAAGATCTTTGAATTACAGAGAGTAAAAGCTAGAAGTTTTCAACAAATGTTGAGCTTCAATTGGAGTGAGAGACTATATATACTTTAATCTGGATCCTAGGAAAGGATACCCCAGAAGCCTTAATCTGGGGTGAAGAAGAAAGTAATAGGAGCAGGAATGAGGACTGAAGGTAAGCCCAAAGTAGGTGCTGGGATGAAACAGAGTTTGGGGCTGGGGGAGCAGTGGGGAAACTTTAGCCTGTATATAAACTGAAAAGTGAAAGTGGGCATTAGAGATTCTATTGACTAAAACAAAGAGAGACTCCAGTGCAAAATAATCACCAGAAACCAGGACAATAGCCACCAGGGCCTTACTGTGCAGAGGTGAGACTCTAGGAGAGATGGTTCCATCCCCCAAGATATTGGAATTTGGGAGCTGCTGAGGATGTGCAGCTGCTCCAATTTCTTTCATGCTCCACAGTGGTTGGGAGCCTATGTTGTCCTGTATGTCAGCAAGTGACTCTAAAATAGTTCCAGAAAAATATATGTATATATCCCTCCAACAAAGACTGGGAGACTCATTGGGTGCAATCATTTAATGAAACCTCTGTCTAGTCTTTGGCTAAGCTAGCCAAGCAGACACTTCAGGGGCCACACACAACAAAAAAAAATACAGAATTTACAGAATTAATTCAGTAAAGTCACCACACAAGCAAACAACAATGACAAAGAGCAACAACAAAGCTTAGAGGGAGGGGAGAATCTGATTTCTAGAAATGCCATATTATACTATTCTAAATGCCCAGTTTTCAACAACTATAAGACATGCAAAGAAAAAAGAAAATGGCCTATATACACACATGAGGGGGGAAAAAAAGCAATCAACAAAAAGTGACCCTGTGGAAACCCAAACATTATATTTACTAAAAAGACAATGCGTCAGCATTGAAAAAAAAATTTTCATAGATGCAGGGTCTCACTATGTTCCCTAAGTTGGTCTCAAACTCCTGGCTTCAAGCAATCCTCCCGCCTCAGGCTCCCAAAATGCTAGGATTACAGGTGTGAGTCACTGTGCCTAGCTAAATCTACTATTTAAAATATGGTTTTTAAAAAAAGAACAAAGAAAAATTCTGTCTAGGCCAAGCATAGTGGCTTATTCTAAATCCTAGGGTCTTGGGAGGCTGAGGCAGGTGAATTGCTTGAGGCTAGGATTTCAAGACCAGCCTGGGCAACATGGCAAGAGCCCATCTCTACAAATAAAATGAAATAATCAGCAGGGAATGGTGGTACCCACCTGTGGTCCCAGCTACACAGGAGTCTAAGGTGGAAAGACGGCTTGAGCCCAGGAGGTTGAGGCTGCAATGAGCCATATTCACACCACTGTGCTCCAGCCTAGATGACAAAGTGAGAACCTGTTGCCCAAAAAAAAGACTAAAAAGCTTAAGAGAAGTGTGGAAATAATGGCTCACTCAATAGAACTTATCAATAAGGAGGGATAAATTACTTTTTAAAATAACCAAATAGAAACCTTAAGGTTGAAAAGTATAAGTGAAGTAAAAAATTTGATAGGAGTTCAAAAGCAGAGTTGAGAAGGCAGAACAAAAATCAGTGAACTTGTAGGTAGGTCAACTGAGATTATCCAATTTCAGAAACAG